GATACTTTGAAATCAACATTTTTTTTCAAATCTCTGTCTGCTCCTCTGTCAGCTCCTCGCCCTGCAACACCAGCCAACTCCCGTGGTGTCGGCTGCCTCCTGGATCCTGAGCTTGCTGTGCTCCAAGCCTGGCCCCTCGTAATCTCCTAGCAGAGGGCCACCTACAGAAAACCACAGCACACCTGGTTTGGACCACAAGGAGGAAGGAAATTAAAGACAAAGACTTCAATTTGCTGCAGAAAAGTGAGGAAAATTATATTTTAAGTCATATTTGATTTTTTTTAATTCCATGGGTGATTTACTTCTTCAGATGCAGGACAGTGGTGTTTATCTGTGGGAAGCTGGACTGAGGAACCCAGGGGGGAGAGCCCGTAGACCCTGGGTACCGGTGGGTGATAGAAATCAGAGGCAGAAAGACCAGAGGAGAAAGTAGAGAAGGTCAAGGTTGGAGACGGCCCAGCAGAGTGACCACCCCCCACCCACCTGTCTTCCCACTCCTGGGCAGCAACAAGACCTTTGCCCCTCTCTCCAAGCCTGTCCTACCAGTCCCCCATCCACTCTCAAGAGGACAATGAAAATGGAGACCCCCGGATGGGAGCCCCCTCAACTCCCAGGGTCCCCAGTGACACACGTCTCCCCTCGAGGTCCCCTGCCCTCTCCTGTACACCACTGAAAGGGCTTCTCCTCTCAGGATGAAACTGAGTTTGAGACAAAACCCAATTCTGTACTTGGCAGGTGGGGCCTGGGTGTCTGCTGGGCTTTGCAGCTGAGTGTCCACAGCTGACCACAGCAGGGGACATCCATACAATCCAATCAGCAAGCTGGATTCCTCCACTTCCATGGAGTGGCCTGGGGCAGCTCTGTGTCTCGGCTCTAAATGGCCGGTGATGCCCTCCAGTGTGGCCACCGGACCCAGCCGCTCACCACCAACTTCTCTCTGGGTCTTATCTCACAAAACCCAGAGAATGAAATTCACAGGATTCGGAAGGTGGCCATGGGGGCGAGGAGGCCGGGAAGGCAGAGCATTCGTCAGCTTTCTGTCACTGGGACAGAGTGCCGGAGGAGGACAGGTTCGTGGGAGGAAAGATGTATTGGGTTTCGGAGGTTCGTGGGTGGTCACTGAGCCCCACGGCCTCATGCTGGGGGCATCCTGGAATGGAGCTCAGTGGCTCACCTCACAGGGGCCAGAAACCGGGGCAGGGCCTGGGGACCAAGGGCACCCTCAGGACACACCCACAACCACCCACTCCCTCCACTCAGCCCCACTTCCTGTGCCCACCACCTCCCAATAGCCGAGCAGATTATGCATCCATAAGTGGACTCTTCCATCCTGGAGGTCAGAGCTCTCGTGATCCACTTGTCCCCCAAGACCCACTCGGAACACTGCTGCACTGGCGGCCACACCTTCAACCTGTGGCTGTTTGGGGGACGTTTCTGATCCAGACCATAACAGCATCCTTATGAAAGGTCCTCAGAGAGCTGCCTACCCTCCTCCATCACAGGAGGACCACCTTGAAGACACAGTCTATGAACCAGGAAGCGAGTCCTCAGGGACAGGCCGCCTTGACCTGTCCAGCTCCAGGACTGTGAGAAGTAGGTCTTTTGTTTATCAGCTGCCAGTCTTAGGCATTTTGTCATAGCAGCCAAACAGGCAAGATACGCACTCACAATGACGCTCCCCAGGCCCAGACTCAAATATCCCAACACCTGCTGCTCATGCCCACCTGTGTCCCTCGGAGGTACCTTGATTACAAATGTCCTCCTGGACATGACATCTTCACAACTTGACCTCCTACTATTCCCCCTCTCTGCAAATGTTCATAAAATATCTGCAGCCATATGAAGCAGAAGCCAACCTTCTGTCTTGACATCTACTCCTTGGCACCTGCTTCTGATCTTCTCCACACTGTGCCTCTGTCACCTGCCTCTACTCCTTTGCCACCACCAACAGCTGGCCGAACCGTAGACATGTAACCCATGCCCCATCCAACCCATTTCTCTACAGAAGCAAGCAGATTATTATAAAAATGCAAATCTAAATCTATCACTCCCTTGCTAAAAACGTTCAATGACTTCCCAGTGATCTGGGAAGAACACTCACAGTCCTTAGAAGAGTAGAGTAGCAGCAATCCTATTTTGGACCATACCCCACACACGCTTTTCTCTTTTGCCTCACCCAAAAAAGTAAATTTCTCCCTAGATGGCTATAGGCGGCCATCTGCTCAGGCGAAGATGAAGATCGTAAAGAAAAAAATGCAAGGTGGCTGGGGAGAAAGGGTTCAGATTTTTGACTTTGAAAATGGGGCTTTGCAGCAAGCCACGGGCATGCAGGACAGGGATTTCTGGCTCTCTTCATCCTTTCTATTGGCTTAAACCAGAACCAAGTCTGGCTGCCCAGAATACGGGGTTCCCTGGCGCATCCCCTCCCATGTGCTCTGTTCTGTGGTGGGAAACAGAAGGCCCAGGCCACCTTCCTCAGCTTCCGTAAGGTCCCATAAACAGTGAGCACCAGCTGACAGCCAACGGCTTGCAAGACTCACAGGAGCAGGGATCAGAAGGCCAAGCTTCCTGGGCCCCAGGCGGGCACTCAAAGGCCATGGCAGCCACGTGGCAGAGGTAGAGCAGGAGCCAAGGCAAGGTGGTCCTGGGGCAGCCGCTGGCCCTGACCAACCTGAGAAGAGAGGCAGAAAAGCAGGCCCCAGGGACACAAGCAGCAGACCACAGCCACCAACACCAGCAGCACAACCGTGGCCAGGAAGACCAGGACACTGCTGCCAAGACCAAGGTCAAAGCAGTCCAGGCTGCAGGGCTCGCCTCACCTTGACATGTGGCTCCTGAGCAGATAACCAGTGGCTCCCCACCCTGCTCAGGAGGACAGGGGCATGTGGGGAGGACGGGCAGGAGGGGGAAAGGCGGAGACGGGAAGGGACCACGTGCTCCCGCACCTGGGCCGACCTGCCACTGGCCTGGAGGCCCCCCACGGCACCCTGTGCCACTTCACAGACCCTGGGGCTCCTTCCCTGTCCCAGCTCAGCTGAGCCCTGCTTCTCAGGAGCACCGTCCCCTCCATCCAGTCCCTCTGCCCAGAGCTCCTCCCTGTCACCCCCCCCCACCGTCCTGCTGACCCCCTGCCACCCCTGGTCCCACCTGCCACCCCCAGCTCAGAGCTCCTGCCTCGCGGTCTCAGCTCCCTGCCCTCCAGCCCTCCTGCCCATTGGCAAAGCCCCCTGGCCTGTGCGCCCGCGGGTTCTGCCTTCCCCGAGGAGCACGGCCCAGTGCTGGCAAGGCCCTTTGCTTCTGGAAACACTCCCAGGTCTGAGCGCACAGGCACCGAACTCATCTCTGCTGAATGAGGAACCGAGTGAATAAAGACGTGATCTGTAAACCTGTAAACACGTTCAAAACCCCAGGGGGCCGCTGGGTGAGAGCTGCACCTGCCGCTCCTGGGCAAGCCTGCGGGCGTCGTGGGGAGCGCCACCGGGCGCAGTACAAAGGCGGCCTGCCCTTGGCAGAGGGTTGGAGCCCCACCCAACAGTCCTGCCCACAGGAGGTTCCTGCTTCCGCACCTGAGTGTTCAGAGAGCTGGAAGGTGCGCCCTGGGCCGCACAGCTTCTCAGACCAGGAGGTGCCCGAGGCAGGCTGGTCCCCAACATGCCAGCAACCAGGAGGACAGCTATGTGCTGGGTGGGACACAGGGAGTGGGCACAGCCTGACTCTGGTGGCTTTGGGGCTGTCGTTCCCGAGGCAGAGTGGCAGTGAGGCCAGACAGAGCGAGCACCAGTTGGAAAGACGTCACAAGCCTGAGCCACGGGGCTCACAGAAAGGCACCTGGCCACCCAGGGACCCGAGGGTGAGCTCCTGGGGCAGCTGCACCCTGTCCTCTCCCGGGCTCCAGCACCTTCTGACGGTCAGCTACCCCCCAGGACCACGTCAGCACACGTGGACACCTGCCACCCAGAAGGAAGGGTGGGGCGCCGACCTCCACCAGCTGCCAGGGTGCTCCGAGTGGGGGTGCCCTGTGTGGTGGGGGCATTGTGGTGTGTGTGTGTGTGGTATGTATTGTGTGTGGTGTGTGCCCACATGTGGTGTGTGGGCATGGTGTGTGTCACGTATAGTGTGTGGTAAGCAGGGTGTGTGCCGTGTACTGAGTGTATGTGGTGTGTATTGTGTGTTGATTGTTGAGTGTACATGCGTGGGGTGTGTGTATGTATGTATGTGCACATGTGTGTGGTGGGGGGATTGGTATATGTGTGTCATGTATGGTGTGTGGCATGTAGTGTGTGTGCCACATGTGATGTGTAATGTGTCGTGTGTCGTGTGCACACGCACATGTGTGGGCTGCACGTGTCAGATGGGATTAGGAGCTTGGCACTCACATCCAACATGATTTTCCAAGTCAGGACGGGTAACGGCACGGTGCTGGGCAAAGGACGTCGCCTTCGGCCAAGGTGCCACCTGCGCCCCGCTGCCTGTCCCCTCAGAGGGCTAATTCAAGATCCGCTTCCTTTGGGTCTTGAGGTCACAGGCCTAGTCCTTCATTAACTAAAGGCCGTGGGAGGGGAGATGTCCTAAGAGAGGATCATGATGGGTCCCTAAAGAGGGCCTGGAAAACCTGGCCCAGCTGTCCCCGGGGGGAGCACACTGCAGGCCACTGACACAGAGGCTGAGCTTAGGTCAGGTTCAGTGAGGGGGAGCTGCTGCAGGACCTGAAGGAGGTCACAGGGCTCCGCAGTGTGGAGCCCGTGCAGCGTGGGGCCCGTGCAGCGTGGAGCCCGTGCAGCGTGGGGCCCGTGCAGCCTGGAGCCTGTGCAGTGTGGAGCCTGTGCAGCCTGGAGCCTGTGCAGTGTGGCCATCGCTGAGACTGTCCCCACAGAGCCCCCCCC